AAAGAAGAAGAGAAGGCAAAGAAGAGAGAGAAAGGCAAAGAGAGAGAGAGAAAGGCAAAGAGAGAGAGAGAAAGGCAAAGAAAGAGACAGAAAGGCAAAGAAAGAGACAGACGTAAGACAAAGAAAGAGACAGAAAGACAGAAGAAAAGAGAGAGAAGACAGAAAAAAGAGAGAGAAAGACAAAGAAAAAAAGAGAAAGACAAAGAGAGAGAGAGAAAGAACAAGAGAGAGAGAGAGAGAAAAAAAGAAGAAAAGCAAGAGAAGATGAGAGAGAGAGAGAGAGAGAGAGAGAGAGAGAGAGAGAGGGAAGGGGGAGGGGGGGGGGAGGGGGGAGGGGAGGAAAGAGAGAGAAGAGAGAGAAGAGAGAGAGAGAGAGAGAGAGAGAGAGAGAGAGAGAGAGAGAGAGAGAGAAGAGAGAGAGAGAGAGAGAGAGAGAGAGAGGAGAGAGAGGGAGAGAGAGGGAGAGAGAGAGAGAAGAGAGAGGGAGAGAGAGAGGAGAGAGAGAGGAGAGAGAGAGAGGGAGAGAGAGGGGAGAGAGAGAGGGAGAGAAAGAGAAGAGAGAGAGAAAGAGAGAGAAGACAAAGAGAGAGAGAGAGAGAAAGACAAAGAGAGAGAGAGAGAAAGACAAAGAGAGAGAGAGAAAGACAAGAGAGAGAGAGAGAGAGAGAGAGAAAGAAAAGAAGAGGAGAACAAAGAAAGAGAGAGAAAAAGAAGAAAGAGAGAGAGAGAGAGAGAGAGAGAGGGAGGGAGGGAGGGAGAGGGAGAAGAGGAGGAGAGAGAGAGAAGAGAGAGAGAGAGAGAGAGAGAGAGAGAGAGAGAGGAGAGAGAGAGAGAGAGAGAGAGAGAGAGAGAGAGAGAGAGAGAAGAGAGAGAGAGAGAGAGCGCAAAATGTATATCTGCCCATTAAAAGAACTAGTGTGTAATAGTTGTGCTATTGTTGAAGACCTTGTTGAAGAGGTTTGTGGAATCACTATATATCAACAGGAAAAAGTATTCAATGTAATTTTCATCTTTAAATTCTGAAGTACCATCTATAGTGCCTATAACCAGTAATAAAAACAAAAAGCTGCTAGATACAAATGTACTGTACTTGCATATCAATCTAACTTTGTTTATTTCACGTACTATACTATTACCTAATTCTTTTTTCTTTCTTTTCTTAATACAGGCAAAGGAACACTTGATGGTGCCTGACAACAGGTTAATAAGTTTGTGATGATAACTGACTGAAATAAAATGTTACGCATACATATTGAATTCAGCCAATTATCACCAATCTCTCAAGTGTATCTTCACCTTGATAAATAAAAATAAGTATAGCTACAGCATGTACTGCTTTTCTTTTACAACTTTACTCTCTGTAATGACACTCTATGAAGGGAAATCTTGAAAAATTTCATACCTAGCTATGTGGATATTTTTATATTTTATCTCTACCTTATACTATCATTATGACCATAGCAGAAAGCATATTGTCAATATAATCATTGAATATAACAATTCATATTCATAGAGAAAAAAAATGCACGAAGCAAGTAAGCCTTTAAAAACTCACATGATAGACACTTGTACCTCCCTTCAAAATACAAATCACAGGTGAACAACTCATGATTTTTTCTTTCTGGAATTGAAAAAAATGCCCACAGCAAAAGCACCACCTGATGGCTCTGCACGAGACACAAAGCTTATGACATCGTCTTGATAGCTCTGCATGAGATACAAAGCTTATGACATCATCTTGATAGCTCTGCACGAGACACAAAGCTTATGACATCATCTCTGCTACACTATACCGGTAGTGAAGCTCATCTAACATACCTTGTTTCTGATGATTTGCATTTGTATAAATCCATGAGTTCTTAATCTGCTATGCTGATTTATTCCACTCATTCCCAATCTGCTTCTCACTCAACATGTACTAACTAGTCATGGTTCAAAATACATAATTCAGTAAATATTACTGTTCAGGGATATTGAAATCATGACTGCAGGAAGACTGAAGACTATGTAGGCTACATTCCTAAAGATTCCAAGGGTTGAAAACAGATGCCTCAGTAACGGATTGAAAGAAGAATGAGAAGACGAAGAAAATGAAAAAAGTTGGTGCTGTGAGATAAAAGGAAGTGTAAGAATCTGTGGAAATATTCTCTTATCAAATGAATTTCATTTCGTATTAATCAATTTTGCAAAGAATATTCATGTATGAAAAAAACAGTCATCAAAACATTAAATCACTGAAGATCTTGATAATTAGGAAAATATATAAAAAAAAGATCAAATATTCTATAAAAAAATGTCTATATATTAAAACAATACACAATACAAAAAAAAATTAATTGCAAAATAAATGTAATACATAACTCCATACATACATAACAATTAAAATTAAACTTACTTATTCTCATCATTACCTCCCTATCTGATAATATTTCCCTGTTTCAGCCATTATTCATACTTAGCATCTTTTTATCAACTTTATAAACAATATAGAATCATAGAATTCCCCACTTCAGTAAAATACAGAAATCACAACTGTTCTTAATCGTAGTTAATAGCCACATAGCTCATGACTTATAGTTCATTTAGTGAGACTAGTTGGAATCAAACACACTTATGAACACACTATTTTGGTATTTTCATTATCATTAATAAAATCCTATCTGCCTAACATACTGCTGACTGAATTGTAAAGATACATATATATATGATATGATTTTAATAAGCTTTAAAAAAAAAATTTAAATACAACATCCAAAAAAAAAACACACATATATAAGATATGTAATATATGTATGTATGTATATGAATATAAACATGGGCTCCTAGTTATTCTTCATTTAACCCTTTCATTACTGATGTTTTGTGAATGCACCCTTTATCATGTTTCCTTCCTTTGCTGTCTAAGTCCTAAAAGTTCAAATATAAGTTAAAAAAAAAAAAAAAAAAAAATATAATATATATATATATATATATATATATATATATATATAATATATATATATATATATATATTATATATATATACATATAAATAAAATAAGCTACACCATAAAATTAAATAAACATGAACAAAAATTCCAAACTATGTATACATATGCTAACAAATGAATACATTTACTTTTCAGCCTCCAAAACAGGCTGATGCCCCTAGACCTCTGTGCTCTCTGGCACTGTTGAGTGTTCATATAGATTTACCTCCTGGACTCATTAATGGATAATGGCTGCTGCACACCCACCCAAAGCTAAGCACAGAAATATTGTGCTGACACTACATAAGAAGGAAATAAAACCAATAAAAGCAGTCAATGCACAGCTGATATTGGGCATTAAAGGGGACCATCAGGCATTTCATGTTTCAATTCATTTTTGAAAAATACTGGAATATTCCTGAAAATTCTCTGCTGTGCATTTTAACAACATTTGGTAAGCACTTGGCAGAGTTTCATAAAAGATATAGAAAAATAAACAAGCTGTGAATAATTCACTGACCACTTCCACCTTCCTGATAGGTTATAAGTCTGCCAGGGAGGTGCAAACATACATGCATAACTCCTAGAAGTTACTTGTTTAGCTAAAAGATATAAAAAAAATACTGTATCACTTATCACTTAGTAATCTATAAAAAAAAAAAAAAGATTCTGCCACTTGCTCTTCAAAAGCAGAGAGTTGAAGGTAGATGCCCACATTCGTCATTTTTCTTTCAAAACATGTCTTTTTGGACCAACTGATCTAGGAGTATATGTCCATGTGCTCATGTTCATTTATCAATTCTGCTTCCACATAAATGCCTCAACAATCACAAACGTCAATTACTAGGTCTACCTGATTTCACTTATTTACCATTTTCCTTATTTTCAAAAAGATTTTTTTATCCCTTTTACTTATAGTATTGTTAATTATCATATAATAATCATATTGTCACAACTAATAATAATAATGACAATAACATCAGATGAAAAGCTTTCTCCCCAATGTTCAAGGAATGGGGTAATCAGGTAATCATTGTAACAATACATGCCATGTATTAATTGATTGTCTTTACACATATGTATACATACATACATACATATATGTATCTATATATGTAAATACACATATATTTGAATATGTAAATGTGTATATACCCATACCAATACCTGTACACACACACACACATATCTATAATAGGTGGATAGTTAGATATACAGATAAATGTAGATATAGATATAAATATATACAGATACATATAGGTGTATATGCATTAATATTCATCTCTCCCTATATATGCAATTCCCGCATCTTTCCTTTCTAGCTTTGCAGCCTTGTAGCCCAAAAGCTTCATTCCGTGTCAAAAGGAAGCAGACACATCAGTTCATGTGCTTCATCTTCACCATAAACAGTATAAATGTAACAAGAAGCTGCACACATGCACAGCTTGATAGGCCAGAAGAGAAAAGACCTCTAAGCAGAAAAAAATGGGAGAGAGAAAAATAAAACAAAATGAAAAAAATGTAATAAAAATAAAAAATAAAATGCCAACAAGCACATATTCCATCAAGTACAAAATTGGTGATAATGTGGGTTACTAACCTAACAGCTGCCCCCCTCAATAACCTGTAAAAGGACATGATTATGTGTAGATTAACTGTTCTTATCATGTTTCTTGACCTGACCTTTTACAGGGCCTGTGTGTTATGTGAACTCATATTCTGGCAAGGCAAAAAGAAAATAAGGAGAATATCACCGGATTTTCTCTTTTTTGTCTCTTTATAAGAAGAAAGTGAACACTTATCAAGCTTTGTGCTAAAAAAACTATACTTTACTATCATTGTATAATAAGAGAGATTAACTTCACAGTTTTGTTAATTCAGTGCTAGAGGTGTTTGTGTTTGTTGTGCTTATAAGATACCTTTTAACACTGTGTTATCCTTACTTGTATATCACAAATATAATGATTACCTCACTAAGTTTTCTGTTGCAAAATATCTTCATTTTTTTTTGTGTAACTGATAACTGGTATTACTTTTATCATGTAAAACCTCTTTACAGTATCTCTACTAACTTCAAACCCTTAACATCAATAATACCTTCGATTTCATAAAACAATGGATACAAATAATGGATTTCATATTCAAACCGAAAGAAAAAATAATTATGCGAAAGAGGAAAAAGTCCCCCTCCCCTAAAAAAAAGAGGAACAGGAGTAGTATAAGGAAAAAAAAAAAGAAAATTTGTTATTTTACCAACTGCAAAAGATTTTCTGCATCACAAGTCACTCATCTGCAATCATTCCACATCTACAGGTTTAAACTATATTCAATTGCTACACTAATGACTAAGAGCACAAACATGCAAAAGGAAAAAACAGTTATATAGTTAAGCAGTATCTACTTTCATCAGCCTGGCAAGCCCGTCTCACTAGACCCCTAAATTTGTTAGAAATTGTCAAGCAGTGGGTGGTTTTTTGAAAATGCCTGTGCCCTACTTGTATATTTCTTATTTTGAATGCTAACATTATCAATTTTTGCATGGAAATATTGGAAATGAATAATTCTTTTATGGACAGTGCAAATATAAAGATGAACTGAATGATACCAATACCATCAACCTTGAAAAGCATAAGCAAACTGCATAAATGTTTTTCTCTATCTCAAAAAGAATGGTTGTCATTTTAAACATAGTCCCATACACCAATGAATGGATTTTGGGTGAATACTTTATTTCAATGACATAAAAACCATCATCAACCAACTTCTACAACTTTTCTGAATGAAGGGTATAATATAATTGACTAACCAAAATGTCAAAGACCAATGTTACAGTTTGCAACTATGACACAGGTTCTGATAACCTATTTTTCTGACACTTATGCATGGTTCCTGATGCTCCAGAAAAAACACTTAAAATAAAAATGGACTGACAATGACAAACTAACAACAAGCTAAAGGAATCAGAAACAGCCAAAACATTCATGGCACAATCTTACAGCATGTTTTCAAGGAATCACTAACCATGAACAGGCCTAGCTATCTGTTCCTTTTCTTAATACAATGTACTCTTTAACTTTAACCCTCAATGCACAGAAAGTTTCAATAAGAGTTTGCAAAGTCTCTGTTGACCTAACTGTGCATGTGATCCATCTCTCCTACTCACCTACTGAGTAATATCTGACATGTGGAAACTGTTCATGTGCAAGAAATTATTTAACGCAATGCATCTTCAATTCACAGTTCATGGTTCATGCTTTGTGCCTGCACAGAACCCTAAATGAAGAACAAAAGATATGTGTACAGAACCCTAAATGAAGAACAAAAGATATGTGTAATGAGTTAACGAATTTAAAGCAGATTAATGATAACCACAAAAACGTTGAAAGCTGACCATAAAAATGATTCGCATAATGAAAAATCAATTAAACAGAAAAATATATATTGTTTTCAACTATATGGAAGACATTCCTGACTCTCAAGGGATGCTTTCCTTGACAACACAATTTGAAAAATTATACCTAGTAATTTGAAATATTACTTGCACCCATGAATTTCCTGGTTTACAAATAATATTCTGATACCATTTGCTATTTCTAATGAAGGAGTTCCACTTGGTCTGGTTTAGAAGAAGTTGGAATAGTTAAGCAGACCAGAAGTTGACTAGTTTTTAAAAACTAAATTAGACAAAATTTTAATACCTACTCTAAGTTAAACAATAGAAGATTAGACAATATCAGAAGGTACAATGAGCAGGAGATGAATGTGTTCTTCACAAGAAACTTCAGACAAGAAGTTGCAATACCCATGCTGAATTTAGGAACACAGGAGCTACAGGGTACACCTAATAGTAAGTGGAAATGCTGGGTGAAAAGTTAAATGAGAATGTGAAAATGACATACTCTACACCATACCTTGCACTGTAAAGAGGTTTTATTGATTTTAGAAGTTCCAATATTACATCTTTTTTACATCTTAATCATTCCAGGTAAGCAATTTTACTGCTTTTTTCAGAATTTTAAGTTATTCTAAAAACAAGAACAGCAGTTTGTTTCAACAAAGTGTTGCACTGACTGTAAGTGTTCCTTTGGAAAGGCTGTTCTAATTCCTCATAAACTGTTATCCATAATATTTACCCCTTAACCACTACAAAATCATCTGCATCTGGGCTCCTTACCTCACAGAAACTTTACTTCTAAACAAGAACTTCAACACTTTAATACTACAGACTTTTGTGAAAGCACTGCAAGTTTACAGTCCTGTCAGGTTCCCAGGCAAAACATTGAGTAATAGCAATACATAACTGATAAATAATTCAAAAGTGCAGACTAATCTAAAATACTGGCTATAGTGCATCATATAAATATATATATAAAATGATTTTATCTCATGATCAGATTTATGCTTACTTTGTAGGCAGCTTGTAGATATATGCCTGACCCATATCATTCCAGACAAGCACGCGATCAGCTGACAGAAAATCTCCGCCCATCCATCTCTCACCAGGGATTCCCCCAACATGGCAGAGTTGTGA